GAATGTTTGAGGGTGTAAGCCTCCTCCATGAGGGTGATTCCCTATGTCGTGTTCTTCCTTATCAGCCGAACACTGCTTGGAGGCAGTTGGATTAAGGTGGTGGTCGTGTTGTTGTAATTGGATGAAGAGCACTTCTGTGTCAATCTGTTGGGTTCGTTCTGTCTTTTGCTGCTCATATCTGTCTTTGCAATCTTCCTGTTTTGGTGGCGTAGTCGATGGTGGCTTTGACTGCCTCCAAGTCTGGCCTTTCGCCGTCAATCTCATGATAATGCTGGAATGCCAAGACATGTCAGGGTGATACCCTTGGCAAGCAATAATTCCATGTATCAGCGGGAACCAGCACCAAAATAATGACCAGTTGCCCAGTAGCCATACTAGACATCAACGAGTACTTTTTCTAGGACAGAACTAAGGTTGAAGTATATAGCCCAGGAGTTGGTCTTTATATCGCGAATTTTGTGTTCTACAACTTCATTTTTTGAAAGCTCTGGTCTATACCAACGCAAGTTCTACACCATTTTCTAGACATCGACAAGTCACCACGAAATTGAGTGCGTCATTGATGACGACACGAAAAATGACATCAAAAAGTCATCATCATGTGAACAATCATCTAGCGCCTCCATCACGACCTGTATTCTTTTGATACGTCTACTAAAGCTTACGGATTCATTGAGTTTAGGAGGAGGCAAGATTCTAGCGATGACAGTAAGCAGGTTTTGACACTGATCTTGGTCTGAAAGAAAAGACATTGCCGGAGACAAAAACGCATAGTGCCCAGTAAGTGTACGAAGAAACTGTTTGCGACCGCAAAGCAAGGGACGTCGGCCAAAAAGCTAAGGAATTCTGTCAGGCTACAGAAACACTATCTACCAGCTCTATCTCTCCAGACACGTCTCTCGGACCAAACACACAAACGGCTGTCGCTAACAGTCGAGTGACAAGACTCAAGATGACTGCAAAGCCAGGCCCTAGCTCGGCATGGGCGGCTGCCCCAATGAAACTACCTATCACAAGACATAACAGGAAAGCCACACGTCGATTACGTCCCCTGTTCTCGGTAGGCGGAGCGAACCATTTGGGATCGATGAGGATGTCGATCCATGCAGCAGTGGCCATGGCAGTGGTGATGTCGGTAATCTTGAGGGCGCGCACCATCCCGACCCGAGCACCGGAGGAAAAGGCCAACAGAGTTATGGTAAGAAGACCGAGACCGTTCAACGCATGTGATGCGTCTGGGAGTTGATACAAGAGGGCAGCCGCGATGGCTATCAGTGCGCACTGGAACATGCTAGTAGAGATGAGCCACCATTTACGGCGGACCGCACTCAAGAAATTCGCAAGTTGCCCGGTGATGAAGACATCAGCAATGAAGAGACCGAATGAGGTTGCGATTGCAGGTAACGAGACGGTCGAGGCGGCGGGGTGTGGTCCTTGGTGGGACAGGGCAGCGACGGCGAAGACGACCGTGTTTCCGGTCTGTTTAGAGACAAAGCAGCCAAACTGCGGATAGACGATCGCGTCCTAAATCCCGGTGCCCAGAGCAAGGATGAAAAGCTGCAATTCGACCCAATGAGAATTTGTATCGAAATTCTGTGCCCAGAACGCAGGTCGTTTGCGGACCTCGACACGTTCGCGGTCGTTAGTGTGTGCACGCATAGTGGGGCGTCTGATGATAATCGAAGAAGAGGCAGGAGGTCGCAAATACACCACAAGGACCAAGGCAGCTATGCCGATTGGCCGCGAGGCCCGTCGTACTGGCCTTTGAGTACCTCAATGTCTGTCTCTTGAAAGCCCAGCCTACAGACAGATGACGGCGACATGTCGGTTGCCAGCCGGATTCTTGGCGAGTATGGGCCACCCCTGCAAGATTCGAATCTTAACGTCCGACCGTTCGATCAACCAGACGTTGAGCTTCGCCACGTCCACATTTTACCTGACTTTCCAAGTAGACTTTTCAGCGCGGGACGAAAGTACTTGTACAGTATCAAATTATCTTTTGCAACGGCCTTGCGCAGAATTGCTGCAAACACTGTGTTTCTAGAAATCATTACCATGTCCGAAAAACCACGTATCGCTTAGCTTGGTAGTATCTATTTATGCTCAAGGAAACTGGACGCTTTTTGCGACGGCCGGTGATTTTATTGCCGGGACAGGGCTTGCCGCTTGCATGCATGGTGCAATGGAACTCCTTCCGTTGAAACTAGAAAGTCTCCTATCTTGGGTCGGTCGGCGACCTTTACGAGCCTCGGCGATGCGACACGTAAATGTCCGGCGAGACTTGATTCTGCTTTGGATGACGGGTGCTCGCTCGCCACCAGCATGCGTCTAATATATTATCTTTGTTTCGTGTCGTTGGCTGCTGTGAAAAGATCGATCGTTTTCGATATTGTCATGACGCTCCTATCTTCCTCTTCCTTGGCCTTCGGAAACAAGGCTCTATTCGCAGGTCAAACCACTTTACGCAGTTACGCTACAGTGCGGGCTGCTTCGGTCTCACGCAATCACAGAGTCGTTGTCGTCGGAGCTGGCGCTGCTGGTCTTGGTCTCAGTCACCAACTTCTGCGTTCGGGAAAATTCGCGCCCAAGGATATTGCCGTAGTCGACCCGGCTCAATGGCACCACTATCAGCCTGGTTGGACTCTAGTCGGTGGTAATCTCAAGAACAAGGAAGATCTCAGAAGACCTCTGGCCAATCTGATCAACTCCAAGCTGCAATTTTACAACGATTCCGTGGCTGCTTTTGTGCCAGATCAGAACACCGTCACGCTTAGTAACGGCGACAGCCTCTGCTATGAACACCTAGTCGTCGCTCCCGGCATCAGCATCAACTACGACAGCATCAAAGGTCTTCCCGAAGCACTAGCCGACAAGTCCGCCCCCGTCTCTACTATCTACGGTTACGAGACATGTGACAAGGTGTTCCCTACGATTTCCAATCTCAAGAAGGGCACTGCCATCTTCACTCAACCCACTGGTGTCGTCAAGTGTGCTGGTGCGCCTCAGAAAGCCATGTGGCTGGCCTTGGATCACTGGAAGAGAGCGGGTCTCTACAACGCTTCCAGGAACTCGCCTATCAATATTACCTTTGCTACTGGTCTTCCCGTCATGTTTGGCGTTGCAAAGTATAGTAAGGAACTCAACAGGCTTCGCGAAGAACGCAATGTCGAAGGTCTTTTTCAACATGATCTCGAGTCTATAGACGGCGACAAGGCCATATTTGTCCGCGTAGACACCCAGGAGCGCGTTACCAAGAGATTCGACCTTTTGCATGTCGTGCCTAAGATGGGTGCTCACAAATTTATCAAGGAGAGCCAATTGGCGGACGGGGCAGGCTTTGTGGACGTCGACGATGCAACCTTGCGCCACAACAAGTATCCGAACGTTTGGGCAGCCGGAGACAGTGCTGGCCTGCCTACGTCGAAGACTGCTGCTGCTATCACCGCACAAGCACCAGTCTTGGTGCGTAATCTGCTTCAGTCACTTGAGGGCAAGACTTTGGATGCATCATATAATGGTTACACTTCTTGCCCACTACTGACTGAGTACAACAAGGTTATGCTGGCAGAGTTTGGTTATGGTGGCAAGCCAATGGAAACGTTTGGAAGGGTGATCGACCAGTCCGTTCCACGAAGAGCTTTCTTCCATCTGAAAAAGGATTTCTTCCCTTGGATTTATTTTAACGCAATGGTTAAAGGTCTTTGGGGTGGTCCAAATGGTTTCATCCGATAGACAAAAGTTGAATTCTACTTTCACAGGTCCAGGCTTTTTATATCTCAGACAAGCATCTTTCACACATGCTTCGGTACATCAATTAAATTCAGCTGTTCATTTGCACTACTTGCAGAACTTCTCGTAAAGCAGTGCGTGTATGTACCGTTACGATAGAGTTTTGAAATGCGTTTTGTTCTGTTTGCATATAATGGAATGATGAAAAATGGACAATACCATGGGCGCACGTTGGGATCCACAGATCCATAGATGCTAGACTGGAGGACATTGTCTAGGGCACACCAACAATTAGACAATATTATCAATCGTAATACGTTGAAGCACAAGGAAGACATGAAAAGTAAGCAAAATCGCTTGAGCGTAATATTGAAGATGGAAAACAACGGCAGCAAGAACAAACTACCAAGATTACAGCTTAACCTTCATGCCGTGTACGCCGTTTTGGAAATCTTCAGGAAGTTGTACGGGCACGGTCAGAAGAGCAGGCTGCTCACCGCTGGCAGTTGGAAACCGTCCACCAAGCAGATTGACTTGCAGGGACTGATGCAATAACTTAGGAGCCTTAAGCTCATTGTCTCTAGTGGTTCTCCACTGCACGAATTCATTTTCCATAGTACCAGACTTGGCATGTTTGTTGCTTTGTTTATGTTCATCGACCGTTGCGTATGGTCTTGGCTGACCCTTCTCACCGCCATACTCACGATCCTCGGGTGGGTAGTCATAACCAGTATAAAGCTTGAAGTGATCGGGGAGAGAGAGCAGAAATTGCATCGAGGTCCAAAGTGCTAAAGCGGAACCCTTAGGGAAATCGACCCTTACGGACCCCACGTCTAGGTTAAACATGGAGTCTCTAACAAACACATTGCTGCCAATTACGTAACCGACGTGGTTAGGAGTGTGACCGGCAAGCTCAATAACCGAAACTTTAAGGGAGCCGACATTGAATTTGTCGCCTTCATTAAATGTCTCGTTAAAAGAATCATTAAGTGCCGCTTACGTGATTTTTTATCTCGGCGCCAGATCTCTCTAGATCTTAGTGATGTCAGCTCCTATACATACCGCAGGAGGAGACTCCTATAGTGCCGAAAGCTTTGTCTTAAGATAGTGCGACGCTGTAAAATGATCGGCATAGACGTGTGCTTCTAGAAGGCGGTCGACAGATAATGAGCGCTCTTTAACTAAGTCTAAGATAGAATGCGCAGAGTGTGTTAAAATCTTGTTAGTAGCCGAGTCATAATCTAAGACCGGATTAATGATCATAGACTACTTTATTCGTTCATCCTCGACAATGTATTGCTACGTTCCTATGACTAGCTCATAGAAATTGTTAATAAGCGGTTTAACAACCGCAGTCGTAGGGTGGTATAACCGCTATCTTAGAGCAGACTTAGTAGGACCTTTGCAAGAAGACATAGTTGCGTTTCGTAAGGTAAATTTAGATAGTAAGCGAGACATTAAAATAACATTATTTAAACTCTCGTCTACGATACGTCTAACTGTATATATTATAGCTTGTCGGCGACCTTCGCTACGTTCGGGGATGCGCCCTAATCGTTGCTAAGACATAGCGGCTCATCTTTTTAAGTCGGCGACATTCTACGCTATCGGGGTCCCTACGTCGTTAGTTCTATTCCGGGCGTTATGTGCGGTGTTTTCATTGAATTTACTAACAATATAGTGCCCGTGTTTCCTCGACCCGAGGCATTTGTGGCCGATAAGCTGGGCTAATAAGCCGACCGACATCTAAAGGAAGTTAAATAACGCATTTACGCAATCTTAACTAAGAAACCATCTATAAGCGCATTATGCCGCTTAAAGTTTCTTTTCCCCGGAGTAGCAAGACTTCTAAGACATCATTACATTCGTTGTTCTACATTGTGATATGGACGCGACACTAATATGAATACCGAACAGACAAGAAAAGTCCCCGAGCGCTTAAGAGAGGAAAGGAAAGGAAGGGATAGACAAGAAAAGAAAAGAAAAGAAAAGAAAAGAAAAGAAAAGAAAAGAAAAGAAAAGAAAAGAAAAGAAAAGAAAAGAAAAGAAAAGAAAAGAAAAGAA